GAAAACCCTCGATCGTCGTTTCCGATTTCCCCGGAGAGACCCCATTAATTATTCCCACGACTGCAGCGGGATTAATAATTTCTTATCGCCAAGAGTAACACGGTGCTTTACTTTTAAGCGAGGTTATCTCTCGACTCGTGAGGCCCTTGTTTCGGGGGGGAAAGTGGCGACGCATGATTGAATAGGGTAAGGCCCAAAAAGGTTCTCCGTGCACGTTGAGGAAACTAGCGACAGCTCGAGGCGCGTCATTATGTCAGGCCCGAAATGACGTTCCATTAAGGACTATTTTGTCCAGCCTTGGTCCATTAAACGCTCTACTCGAACACCAAGGAATTACGGCCCTCCCGAGGCAGCGGGCTCGCCGGTGGAATCCTCTTCCAGGATCCGACATGTCCGACGAATCACGCGGTAATTTCTCGGAGAGATACGCGCCTTTATGAGAGACGGGGCCCTTCGACCGAGAAAGAATTTCCGTTCGACTCGTTTGTCCAGGCCCCGTCCGTCGGGCCCGTTGGGTCCGTACGGGCTGGACCGAGGAGGCGTCGGAGGTACTCGAGGGATCTCATCTACCTGCAAACTCGCTTAACCGCGCCTCTTGCTCGCTCTTCAAGCTCTCCGTATTGACCGGAGTCAAAATTATTGGGCCCTAGGCCCTAGCCGGCTGAAGCTCGACGAAATTCTCCTAGAATCCCCTTTTCAACTTTCTCCAGTCTCTACCAAGGCCCGAATTTGCCCTCGGCCGAGGCCCCGCAACAGGCCCAATATTTGACACGGTATCGCGCGAGGTTTTACTTTTATGGCCGCCACGTGGGGCCCGTTTTTCCTAACCTCCAAAATTCGCTGCCGCTCATCTCGCTTCTGATCGACGGTCCTTAATTACAGGGTACCAGTTTACGGAGAAGTATAATCGGAAAATACCTCAATTGCTCACCCTTGCGTCTTGGCTTGTCGTCCTTTTTGCGTCCCACGGAAACGCAGCAATACTCGAGGAGATCGGCGAGCGATACGATACCCTGAGCTTAAGGACTGGTCCACGCCCATTCACCGGGCGCACCACCTTGAAGACCCGAAAAGTCGAAATTACGAGCCGGCTTGTGCACAGCGTGAACGCATTCGGGAGAAGTTAGGTTAGGAACGCGGCTCGGGGGAGAGGGGCAAAAGAGAGAACCGGGAGGAGATTCTTTATCCAGCCCAGGCACTTCGACGCCACTTTGGCGAGGTGCTAGATTAGCGGACTATCGTCCGCCATCTTTAGACCGCGTCTCTCGTGGTACCACAGTGCTTGTAGAAATGGAAGAAACGATCCAAGGCTCCTTGCACCCACACCGGCAGCGACTTTTCTACCGGAAACAATGTAACTTTCATTTATTTACATTATTACCGGCGACGAAACCAGCGTTGGCGCTGGTTTTGTCTGTCGTGTACACGCGGCCTAAGGGAGTTGTTCTTAGACCATAGATATCTAGACTTCGCATTGCAGTAGGAGTAAACTCGAATTTACCACGTGAACTAGTGTGCATCGTGTACGTGTAAAGATCAAAGCTTAGACCATACATGTGTAGACTTCGCATTGCAGTCGAAGGGGTAAACGAATGTACCACATGAACCGACCTTTAACCCACACAGTTAAATTTATTCTGTTTCCTGAAAATTTCCTAGTGGGAGTTCTTACAATGGGAATCCTTATAATGCGCAAAAGATAATGCGACTACTGTTTCATATAACGCGTGTTATACGGGAGTCTACTGTACATGGTCTGAGTTGTTAGAGGAGGTTAGAAAGAAAAGCATATTTTCTCTCTTAACTTTTCGAGAGTACTTGCTGCGCAATTGCAGAACATATTGAAGCCACATTCACGTTTCAGCTTAAACTTCGCGTGTTAAAAGACTTCTAATACAGGGTGCTTTCGAAAAAAAATTGAGATTGGAGGTCCTCCTCTGTCTAATCTCCTTTCGACGCAGCATTTATTTCGCCATATGACGCAGTTCATGCCATAAATGCTTGCCGCATGTGCATAGATATACACTAATGCATAGGTGTGTTAAATGATTTTTTAAGAATTTGCCGCATATTTAATGTACGCTTGAATTAAGACCTTCGCACATACCTCGCATAATGGTACCCATAAGCATAGTATTAAAAGCTAGATAATAAAATCGCCGAAATAAGACTCCGCAATAAATTTTCTTTAATTCGATTTGTTGGTATATATATATTATACATATTATATATCGGACTATTGTAAGCACGAGGTGTATGCGATAGGTTTGAAAGCCTTTGATCAAAGCTTTTGGGTTTATTAAAAATGCAGACATCGATGTTTCACTCGTTCCATATTTTCGACTTTGACTTAGATGCGCAAAAACGTTGCGCGGTGCGCCGACAGCTGCGGCAGCGATCAGTGAATCGCCCGGAGGTAAGCGTGCATCGCGAAGGCGGCCGCAGTCGCGTCGAGGAAGTCGAGCGGGGCGGACGGAAGGAGAAGACTCTCTTTGTCCTCGCGCGCTCGCGCGCAGCGCTGACCCGCTGGCCCACTGACGCGCGAGAAGGCGCAAGTCGCCGCCCCATGGCGGGCCCGCGACACCTCCGGGCCCGTCCGCGCCGTCGGCGGGCCTGATGCCCCAAAATCGGGCCCGATCTCGAAACTCGTCCGAATGAGATGAAAATCGATTCCCAAGGCCCCCCGACCTCGCCGATTCCGATTCCGGCCTCGAAACAGACAATTTCCAGTTCATAATAATCTCGATCGCATATGTCTCAACCAAGATACATATTTTTTGAAAGAGGGAGGACATAGGATCATCCTTTAAAAGATCGCCGTTGTCTAGATCGGATTTGATTTATCGATTGGGATGGCGTAAGTTGGTTGCGTTGGAGGGAGGGGTCCTAATGCCCGGGGCGGTTTTCCGGGCATGTCTCGAAGATTTCCGAGGCAGGTAAGGGAAGGTCGCGGGCAAAAAGTCGTTTTGGAAAATCCGAGGTGGTAAGACCCTGCCCGGTCCTTTGTGCTGCCCGACTCGGACGGGCCCGGCATGGCCAAATCGTCGGATGGCACAATGCTCCCGCTAATGTCCACTTAGCGGGGATCGGCGGGACGTACTCCGGAGCCTGTTCTAGCGCTTTAGAGGGGCCATAACGCGGCCGCTCGGTACTTAAAAGGACGCAGGTAGACGCGCTAACTTTTTCGACCGCCGGCCGCGACGTAAGGGCCCGGGCACGGGGCCCGATCCGCCATTGTTTTCTAACTCCCACCCGGAGGGCCAAGAGGCGCGTTTGCGCCGTTTCGAGACGTGCGAGCCATTTGGGCGAGTTGAAATCGTTTCCAGGATTCCGTCCGTAAAGGCCTCCGAACAATGGACGTCTCGGCGTCAAAAAACTCGGTAGAGCCTCGCGCCAAATGCACTCGGAGTGGTACGCTTCTTGCCGGGGAGCCATCCATCTCGGTGCTCCTCCGTCGGGGGGACCCTCTCTCCCCTCCTCCCCTCTCTTTCCCCTCCACAATGAGGTGCACCAAAAACCTCTATGTGACGAATCCCACGACCAGGGGGTGACGGGAAGGTCAAAGTAGGGCGGATTCGGGTGGTCCCTCCTCGGACCCCGGGCCCGTCGCGGGAGCGAAATTAAACTTTCCTCCGAGGACTCGCCGCGGGGAGAGGAATCTGCGAGAATAAACGGGGGAGGGGGGGGGGGGAGGAACGGTCCCTCTCTCCTTCCGTTTCTTTCGCTCTCGCCTACTCGCACCTACTCTGGTCTACGCCGGCCCGGAGGGGAAGACACTCGGGCGGGTTTTGCAACATTCGACTACCCCCCACTCCCGGGCCCCGCCGCGGCAGGGGCCTTCTCCCTCCCGCGAGCGTGCGCCCAAACAAAACGAAAGAGTATACGGTTCCTCAAGGATAACGAGTACGGACCCAGAAGGTGGTGGCGGTGGCCACCGCGTCGCCTCCACCCGGCGGCTCGTAATACGAACAATTGGAGAGCGGCCGCGGCCGCCACCATAAGATCTTGGCGTGCAGCTGCGTCACGTTTCGACGCTGCGGCGGCTCTATGCGCACACGAGCGAAGCGCCGCGACGCAACGCGGTTCGTGACCGCATCGCGTGCACTCCCTTCGAAAACGGCCCCCCGGCCCTGTTTCTGCTTTCGGGACACCGACTCGGCTATCGATCAAATCGAGCCTCGCCGGCCTAAGTGGCCACTCTCTTTACTCCCGATTCTATAACACGGATGTGCAAAAAAAGAAAAAAAATGATTACGGCTCCGATACTATATTATCGCAGAGCACGAGGGAATCCGTAAAGGACTCGACCGGCCGCCATCTTGGCCGAAACCGGCACGAAAGGAAAGATTCGCGAAACGGGGAATCCTCCCCGGATGGCGCCTCCGTTGAACCCCGGGGCGGTCCCTTCTTTACCGGCCGGTAATTCGATGCGTCCGGCAGTGACGCCGGCCAGCGCGCGCCATGTCGGGCCCAGGGTCCGGGATCCGATCTCTTGCTCCGGTACCCGACAACCTCCCCGTCCTCGGGCGCTCGGATTACCTACCTTCTCCCGCCTTCTCCCACCTGCCTCCGCCTTTTCTAACCTCCCACCCGCGCCCGTAAGTCCCAAAACCCGAATAGTTACCGTCCCCGTGTACAACCTTTTTTTCTCCCCCCGGGATTCCTGGGGCCCGGTGGAAACGTCGATTCCTAAACTCCGTAGAAATCGGGCGCGTTGAATTGCTGCCTCGCGGGGAGCGGAACAAACTCTCGGCGATCGAAAAATCGACAAGACGGGCCCCGCGGGCCCGGCGCCTGCGCAATGCGCGTAGCGGAGTTTCGGGAGGCCGGCTGGAGGGGCGGCGGCAAGGCGACCTTGACTAGGTCCCCGGACGAGGTTAGCCGAGGTGGGCCGAAGGGGCCCACTCGGGCCCTGCGCCGCCCCCCTTTCCCGGCGCCCCCCCTTCCCCCCTCGCGGTCCTCGGTGCCCACGGAGCCCTGCGGTTCTGCATTCGCAGACTCCTCCATCAAGGACATCACAAAAAGTACATTAGACGAAAACACGTTGCCATTATACGCGGCGTCGTACCGCGAGAACGAATCTCTACGGGTCTCGGCCACCGTCTCGCTATCGGCCCGGCTCGACTCGTCTTTTCGCGACCGCCGAATTACCTTAGGCCGCGCTCGTGACTATTTTCGGTTCCTGGAGAGACGGGTCAAAGTGGCACTAAACGTCGCGAGTCTGTTCTCCGGGAGACTGGATGTCTCTTTTTTTTCCCCGTTTCCTGTCGCAGTCCCTCTCCGCACCGACGGAGTCGAAGTCAATCGGTGACGTTCGAACTTATGGGTCTTGGTTTGCTCCGGACTCGTTTTACCGGTAGTGGTTCATAAAACGGCGCGTCGACGCAGCCTTTATTCTCGCGGGCCACGGTGCATCTTTCCGCTCTTAAGATCAAGGTCGGCTCGAAACCGCTCCGAGGTGACGTGGGTAGGCAGATGGGGAGATAGGCGCATGGCGTATACGGCATGTTGGGTGGGTAGGTAAATACGCTACCTCCTTGATATAATAATCTTACTTTCGTCTCGTAAGTTGAGGGTCTTTCTCTGAATCGCGATTCTTGTAACGGCGCCTCAATGCTGCCTTTATCCCTGGGCCGAGATGCACCTTACCGCTCTCAAGATCAAGGTCGGCTTGGACCGCTTCAAGTGGCGTCGGCGTTGGCGTAGGTAGGAAGGTGGGTGGGTGCACAGGTAGGTGTGTTGGTCCGGAGGTTGGCAGGCGGGGAGGTGCACGAGTGCGCTATCTACGCTGACATCGTACCATTTCCCGGCGATCTCGATTCCCAAAACTTTGCTGTCCTCCTCCTGACTGCCTAATGGATAACGAAACAATTGACGCTAATTTCCGATTAACCGTCGCGCTTAACACGTTAAGGACCCCTAAGAAATCTATAAGACATACGCCCGGGAACGCACGGACCACGTGAGCGGTCCTTAATGTGTTAACGTTCAACCTTTTATCCAGGAGAATTCTCAGATTCCTCGAATTTCCCTACCTCTAACCCGCGGGCCAGTATTTGGGGCTTCAACCAACTTTATGGAAATTGGGGTCCGGTGTCATTACCGAATCCCCTCCGGAGGAATATTTGTAGACCTGTTTAGGTACGAGGTACCTTCGCCCACGAGTCTGGATAACCGATTGGTCGATCCGACTGCGGGGGGAAAAGAGAAAGCTCCTCGGCATCCGATGGTGCCTCCTCTTGCAACGAACCACCGGCTAAGTGATCACTGAATAACTCTATCGCCTTGTCTCGGGCGGTTACATCGATGCGGGCTGCAAAAAGTTGCTTACGATAAGCCGGGGTTACGAAAAACAAGTCACATGAATAAGTAACTCACGTGAATAAGCAGCGTCGGGCCGCCGATCGTTCCGCGGCGTCGATCTCAAGGCCGCTGCCGATCGCGATCTGAAACGACGGAGCTGCGTTATTCGCATCCGAAGAGAATTTCGTTTCATTGTGTACAGGGATTGGTCGGTAGTGACATCTACGACATACAGATGAGAAAGTCGGGGAGTGGTGCAAGGTGCTCTCTCGAATCGGCGATCGCGGCCCTGACCGAGCCCGTGACCGCAACCGCATCCACGTAATGGACGGACCTCGAGTTTGGCGCAAAACGGGCGGCGTGACACCTACCGCTGCTTCTGACTCCTACTCGCGTCTACCTGCGGCTACTACAATGCGGTTATAACACAATATAAACTCCAGACAGTACCTACCTGTCCCCCTAACCGCCGTCGGCCTCAGGCGAGGCGGCGCGAGCGCCACGGCGGATCAGGGAGAACTCTCTACCCTGTATCTTAACATGGGTCGGTAAAGGCGAGCTCTGTGCCTCGCGCTGTCTGATTACCTTCTCCAGGATTATCCGCGGACGGTCGGTCGGCTCCCTGAAAAAAAAACGGTCCATTCAAAACAGCTCCACGAAGTTCCGAACAATTCCATGGCTGGACGCGCGCCGAGAATCAACTTCGCCATTGTCTAGACAAGAAACCGTGTTTATACAATGTACCTTCGTTATGCCAAACATGGAACCTTCATAAGGTTCTCTGAATTGAGAGGTAAATATTTATCTAATTGAAGTGCCGAACTTTGGCGTTAAGTATTCGTTAGCGCGTGCTCTTTTATGTACTTGGCGCGAAACTCCACCGAGTTTCCTGACGGTGGAGGAAAGGACTCTCTGAAACACCGGAAACGTAGAGAAATTCACCTCCGTCGTGCGGTTTCACGAGTGTCATGAAAGCCTGCCCCTCGCGGAGTTCTTACTTATTTAATAACTCCGTGCTCTCCGAAACGCCGCCATGTTGCAACACGGCCGTTACGAATTATTTCCGTTTTTGGAATTGGAAATATCTGGACCCTCGTCAGAGTGATGCCAAAAGAATGGCTACCAATTATGCAGTTTTTAATTAAATCCATTTTTAAACCTACTTCGTATTCGGCGCCACGATTCCATTGGTAGGTGATCAAACATGGCGGCGTTTTAGACTTCCCTTCAAACGGATTGCGCGTTATCCCGCGTAGTTTATTGATATCATTCTACGAGATTCTCTTCAATAAAGTAATACTTATATACTCTATACCTTACTCAATATAACTTAATATAATATAACCTTTACTCAATGAACTTATATACTTATATACTTTACTCAAAGCGAGGTTTCTAATTTGGATGATTATCTTTAACCAGAAAAATCCGCAAAAAAGGGCAAAAGAGGGCAAAATAGGGCAAAACTTCGGCTTTCGGACGAAAACGTCGGTTTACTTGTTGTCCGCGGAGACGAGGTCCGCGTGTCGGGGGTTTCCGACGGCGGCGGTGGTGGCGTCGAAATAACGAAGAATCGCAGCTGGCAACGGTAGCCGAGTTTATTTATAGCGGAGGAGGCCGCGGTGCCGTCGAAAACCTCTCGGACGGACAGTATGTCGAGTCCTCGTCGGGCGCCACGCGGTGTCGGCCAGGTCGGTCCGCGTTCGCTGCCGCTTCCGGTGCGCGTCCGGGGCCCTTCCGGTCCCCCTCGGGCCCGGGGTCGATCCGATGAGGGAGGTCGTCGAAAACGCGCGACTCGCCTCTCCTTCGTCCTACCTCTCCTCGTAGGACTCGTCGGCGACAAGTCGCGCTTCCCACGTTCGTCTTCGAGGGGGCGTCGAGGCGCTCCGCGGCGTTTGACGCAATGGCGCACCGTATACGACGACCGATAAGGGGCGACCACTACAAGTCGTTCGGCAAAAGGAAGGTAAAGTCGCTTCGTCTCTAGGAATCTTAAAGGCAGGAAAAGACCCTCAAGGTCGCTAGTCGTGGGTAGAGACGCATCGGGGGTGTATCGCCCTTGTAACGGCTAATTAGGGCGCACTGCTATGGGGATTATTTCTATACGGTGGTTGAATGGGGTAAAGAAGTTACGACGCCTCGCCCACGTCGCCGCTCTCGAAAATGGCGCGAAAGGCAGTGCCAAGGTCACTCTCGTCGGGTTCGGTTGGGGATGAAATGGCGCGATAACGGCTAATTATAAGAAGCCTCGATGAGGATAGTCTCGCGCCTTTGTCAACGTGCTCGGTCAAGGGGAGGATATCCACCTCGGATTCTACCGACCTGCTCGATCATCAGTCCCTTTCACACGGTTTTTCGCGTTTCCGCTATCGCATTTGGCTAATTCCAAGACACGAGGAGCGCCATCGAGGCCGTTCGTCGTGTCGCGCCGCGACGCCGAAATAGACGAGGGGATAAAACTCGTCCTTCGCAAGGTTTCGGTGCACTGTCCAAGAATCGAGCTCCGAAGTTCAGAGATGGGCGTCACTAATTAACTTTGAACTTCGGGACGTTTTGCGCAGTCCTTCTGCGAGGACATCGCGCGTGCTTCGTTCTTGGGTTATGAGACTTAAGGAGGTGCGAAAGTTTAGGCAGAAACTTGGAATCCTCAATTGTCGAGGAATGATCATATGTGGGGACGTCGACCATGCTCGAAACTCAAACCTGACGTATGACGGGCGGCGAAGTTTCCTCGTGCCCCACTTCTTGCACGGGGGGTTACCCGCGATAAAATTAGTTTCCCATTATTACAAAATCCTCAGGTCTCCTCATCCTTGCGAGAATCCTTGCACGCTTTCCTGGGTGCGATCAATTTGACCAGTGCCCTACATACATACGTTTCTCGCCGGAGTTCCCCGACGAGTATTTCCAGCTTCTTATCGCGCCTTCCTGATATTACTCGGCGGCGCGGGCGGCTCGAAATTATAAAGCCGGAAATAAGTAATAAATACTGCCGCTGTACCTTCTCTCTACTTTACGGTACTCGCGAAGTCGAGGTTCTCCCATCTTGGAAGTTAAGCTTAGGTTGCGGAAGTTCCCCAGAAGTCGGGTGCGCAGAAACCACGCAATAAAAAAAGAAATATTATAATTTTATAACATTTTTCTCGGAAGCTTGTGTTCAGGCTGATATACTATTTTTACAGCACTTTACACGTATACTTCACAAAGGCGTTATAATTTTAGCACATAAGTGTAGTAATTATTCCTCCGCAATTTTACAAAGTTCTAACGCGACGTAAAAAAGAAACCACAAACTCATTCGGAAAACCATAATAAGAGGAGGTCGTTTCAGTTTGAAGGCATGAAATTTATAATTTAACCACGTTCTTCTCCGTTATCGAATCCCAAGCGTGCATTATCACTTTTCCTCCCGATTTTCATTATTACTCCTACTCTTTATCGACCCGAAGATTTTTGTGTCGACAATCGACATCACCAAAAGCGATATTAAAATCGAACGCCTCGGCTAGAAAACTCGTAAAACTGGGTAAAACAACCGAAACTAAACGAAATGTGGGGGTCGATAAGACCCCTTTTCCTGCATCTTCGCGGGCCGAAAGTGCAGGAATTTTCATATTAATAGGGGTTGAAATAACCCGCAACCGAAAAAGCGGAGGCCACAAAGTACCGGCGAATCGCCAGGTAAACCATAAAGAATTTTTCAAGAGTCCGGCATCGGTCTTCGGCTTGCAGGTCGGTCGCGGGGTGGGGCGGCCTCGCGCGCAGCGGCGCTTGGATCGATACGTCCGAGAGGGTGTCTTCCGCGTTCCTCGCCAGCGCCACCTGGCGTGCGGTCCGCAAAGGCGCAAGGCGTTTCCGTGGCATCGGGTCGCGTCGCGTCGCCGAGCCGTCGCCGTGCCGTCGCCATGGCGGCGACGGGAGGCAACTGCGCCCCGGCATCGACTCGACCGCCAGCGCGTCGTCTCAGTGCGTCGAGGAGGCTCGAGCGGACGGGGGTTGGCTTCACCTCGCGAGACCCCGCGATCGCGAGCCGACCTTGCAGACTCGTGCAGTGGTAGAGGCGCAGGAAGGCGAGGTAGAGAGAGAAAGGGAAAGGGCGAAGGTGGAGTGGGAGTCGGGTCGAGCGATGAACTCGGAGGGTGGTATCGAGGGCAAAGGGTTAAAAGTGTCTCGGCGTTGAGGACCGGGTGCCGGTCGGTCGAGTCGGTCGCGTCGGCGGCGGGCGCGCCCCGGCTCGGATATCGAGCGACTGTATCGGAGCGATCGATGCCCTAACCCTCCGAGACGGAGTCGCGGCCGACCCGTCCCCTCCTGGCAGGGGCCGAGGATTGGATTTTCCAGGCGACTCGGCCGCACGGCCGACGCCAGGGACGTGGGAAGCGAGTCGACCCCCGGGGGCGCTCGCCGGTGGATAATTCGCCCGGTCGATCGGCGCCCTCCGCGACTCCCGGAGGGACCGCCGGCCGCGCGGCTCGAGCTCCTACGTCGCGGCGCCCGCCGACTCGGGACGGCGTGCAGGGTCGCGCGGACGCGCGCGCCAGTCCTCTTGGATGGGTTGCAAGAGGAAGCGCAAAAAGCGTGCGAGCCCGGTCTAGGCCGAACCCTCGTCCCGGGGGGCCGAAGATGGCTTAAGCGCAAGGACTCTGGACGCGCACTCGGGACGCCGGCCCGCTCCCGGGCGCAATGCGGTAGGGAGCCGTGCGCGAGGAGTGGCCGAAGCCGACGAGGGTGACCGACGTCGCGCTAGCGGGCGCGACCGGCCCATGGTGGAGGGGCCGAACGCTGACCAACCTGCCGGAGACGACGCGCGACCGCTCCTGGCAATGATCGGATACAATCAGCACAATTCCGGCTACAACAAGCTATTCACGCAGGTATACCTTGCTCGCCCCTGCGTGTCGTTCGGACCGTCACCGAGATCCCCCGGCCACGACGCGGACGAGTCCAGCGAGACGACGAAGGGGGGCAAATTGACCACTTTTTTCGCCCTTAATGGATCTCGCCACTTAAGATGACGTGAAAGTCATTTCACGGATCGATCGTTTATGAAACCTTTCTTCGAGTAGGGAGTACAGGATAGTTTGAAATTTTATCAAATGAGGACGAAGACCTTAAGGAAGGTCCTCGCATCCGGGAATTTCAATTTCATCCCCGATTGACCCCTTGGGTGCCACTTTCGTATCACCTTAAAACGGTAGGAAACTTTTCTCTAAACTGGGGATATCGAATTCCTTGACAATCTACCACGTGAATGTCCATGTTCTAAGAAATTTCTTCATATTTTTTCATTCTCATAAGATATAAAATTTTTCATGGGGACAAGGACCTTCTTTAGGACCTCCCTGATCACGTGGCGAAGCTTCGAATGATTCGGTGCACCCGGTTTGGAGAACAGTTTTATACATATTTTGACGTTTCGATACATATAGAATGACCCTTTCGTAACACCTTAAAAGCCTTGGAACGATGGTCGACGATTGTTCTGTCGTTCGTTCCAGGGGGGTGCCCAACCCTCCGCCGAACAGGGGCAATGGTTCGTCACCCGTGTAAGCGAGCACTGCCGCTCCAGCTGATCGAAAGCGTGTCACGCGATCACGTGACACCGTTAACGTTTCGCATTATACGTTAGTCTTCTAATGTATCAGTTAATGGCGTACATGCGTCGCCTCTTCGAGGTGCTATAGCGCCTGCTATCTCGCGTTATCCTTGCGTTTAATCGTTTGGCGTTTCGGAGCAACCGAGGCAACGTTTCGCACGACCGCTAACAATAAGTCTCGCCGATGATTGTTGGCGCGACAAATCCGTCCGTGATTTTCACGGCCACCGAATTACCGCGATCCGCGACCGCCGATCGGTCGCGATCGATTCGTTGCGAATGGTTGGACTGATCGAAAGTCGCGGACTATCGGCAAAATGGGTCTCCTAATTAGCGATTATTTTTGGGTGGCTTTCAGGGCTCGGCGGACTCTAACTACTCTCAGCCGAGCTCGGACCTCTCGCTGGACGAGGAGAAGGAGAGTTTACGACGCGAGAAGGAGAGGCAGGCCCTCTGTCAACTCGAAAAAGCTAGGGTAAGTAACGAGCGATAACGAAGGGAAGGACAGTACTAAAGGTGGGCTTTTCACTCGGGGGAAGCAAATGAGATCGATTCTTTTCCCTTTATGGGGACCTTTTCGAAGAGGGAAAGTGGCAAGCTGGAAATTCACGCGTCGGTCAGGTCGCACGGAAGACACCCATACAGCTTTGCACACGGCATTTGTTTCTCTAGAAATAATAGAAAAAACCCTCGTCCAATGTACGTAAACTCGATGCAAAAGATGTGCCATCGCGCGGCGTTTCTGTTGGACCAGTCATAGAGTACTTGCAAAACGTCGCGGTGTTTACTAACCAACCAATACAAATATAGCCTCGAATAGGAAGTAAATTTAAAAGCAATAATGTAAAAATTCTATAAATCGTATAGAATAACATCCTTCGAGATTCCATCCGATTTTTACGAGGAATATTCCATTCTAAGGAACCCTTTTATTCATTAGATCGAATGCAATATTCCACAGTTGTCTGTTACAATTAAACCGTTACAGTTTTATACAAAATTCCTGAAATATTATAATCTCTGTAAATGAAAAACAAATATTTCTTTCGGGGTAATTACGCGGTTCTTTCCACCGAGACACAATTATTTCATCCAAATGAGCATTGTTCAAGGAAATTATTTTTTTCTCGGATCAATGAAATCTTTTCTCTGAGTAGGTATATATGTCTGAGCTTTTACCTGATCGGTCCAGGTGTCGATGGACGATATTTGGGGTGTGACGGTGTTCTGCGCAACACCACTCGTATAAAACAGCCTTGTAGAACAATTTTACTCGACCGTTGCTCCCTGGGCCGTGAAATCGTCGCCTCGTCCCTGATTACTTGTATCGGCACGCATTACTCGTCAATTTACTCCGCATCCGGGCAATTTACAGACCAAGTCGGTGGCGTTCGCGGTGCGAACGAACGTGAGCTATGACGGCTCCATCGACGACGACTCGCCAGTCCATGGCTCGGCCGTCAGCTTCGACGTTCGGGACTTCTTGCACATCAAGGTACGGCTCCTTCCTTTTTATCTCACAACTTTCGTGCGCGAATCGACGATCCGGAGGGTCTCTCATCCGAAACCTGTCGAGCAGGAGAAGTATGACAACAACTGGTGGATAGGGAGGCTGGTGAAGGAGGGCTCCGACGTGGGATTCATCCCCTCGCCCGTAAAGTTGGAAGCCCTGAGGTTGCAGGCGAGTGCGGCTCGCGGCACCAAGGGGCTCTATTCCGCGAGGGGAGGATCGTCCAGCAACCTCGGCGAGAGCGGCATGCCCTCGCGTGGTTCTACGCCGCCCACACCAGGTAATGTCTTGACAGAGAGAACAAAGCTTGGTTAACGATTGCCCGAGTTAAGGTGAAGCGAAACTCCCCCTCAAATCAGTAGACTCCAATAAGACCTTTTTTTAATTGTATTCGATCGAATTGTCCTGACACTTTGAGAATTTGGATTTTCGAAAGAACATTTTTTGACTTAGCCTGGACAAGAACCAGAATGGCGTCGAGCTCTGATATTTCGATCGATGTAGAAGTATCGAAGGCTCTGATATGATATGCGAAGGTGTCAGGACAATTGTACGACAATTTAGAACACTTTAGTAATCTAGAAACATTTCCTCGTCGCAGGTGACGAGAGCGACAGCGTGGGCAACGTTCGGCCCGGCAAGACGACCCTGACCACTCCACCCGCCAAGGAGAAGCGGAAGAACTTCTTCAAAAAGCCGGTAAACGCTCGCGGCGCGTTTAGGTTCTCTCTCGTGCTCTCCGCATTGCCTCGATCCCTCTTCCGATCCGGACTTCCGGTCCAGGTTCCTCTTGCGAACCGCTGTCCAGCGTTCCTTCCGCTCGTCCTCGGTCGTCCTTTTGGACCGAAGCTCCTCCGAAGGAACGCGGAGCTTTGCCCTCCCCTTCCTCGGTCGAGCTTCGGTCCCCCGCGAAGCTCGACGCGCGGCCACCGTCATTAACCGTTTTCAATGTTTCAACGTTGCATTCCGTGCTCGCCAAGTCCTACGTAAGTGAGACTATCCTGGGAGTTCGAGGTAGAGCCCGGAGGAGGAGGGTCCCCGGTTCTAACGGATAAATTATGCCCCTTGCAGGAGACGGCGACGCCATACGATGTGGTACCGTCCATGAGGCCGGTCGTCCTCGTGGGACCCTCGCTCAAGGGATACGAGGTCACGGACATGATGCAGAAGGCGCTCTTCGACTTCCTCAAGCACCGCTTCGAGGGCAGGTAACCGGCGAGCCGAGTATTCCTTGAGAACGGAGATGGGCACCGGTCGTTACGACTTGCCGCGACGTCGTCGTTTCGATTGCGTGCAAACCTATAACGCCATTCTTCTTCCTGCCCCAACTATCTCTAATGGGCCCCGTAAAGCTAACGCACCGCCACCCGTCGCCGTTCGTGCGGTAAAGAGAGGTCCACCGTTTTACTCATTTCCTTTACCTCGATCCCAAGGATCATCATTACCAGAGTAATGGCCGACATCTCGCTGGCCAAGAGATCCCTGCTGAACAACCCGACCAAGCGAGCGATCATGGAGCGCTCCACGAGCAGAAACAACTGCCTAGCGGAGGTCCAAAAGGAGATCGAGAGGATCTTCGAGCTGGCTAGGACCTTGCAGGTACCACCTCTTGATTCTCGACAATGCGTTCCTCGTCAAACCGAATCTCAATGATCTACGGTTTGACGCAGATTGCATCGTATCCGCCACGCGTTACGACTTACATTGTATCGGGATACTCGGTAACGTCTCGCGACAAATACGTTTACATGTGCGTACAGACTTAGGCGCGGAGCCATGTACATGTAAAAACGTCGCAGAGTTCTTAACGCCAAGTTCGGGCATGTTAAACTCGTAAGAATTAATATTTCCGTATGCAAGACCTCTTCGTCGTTCGCGACTAAGGTACATAAATGGCAATGGTTATCGCGATTACTCTAATTCTTTTTTTTTTTTTCTTTATATACAATATATGCGACACTCGGGCAATGTTTTAAAAATCTCTAAAATGTGAAAGTGAAAATATTGCACTTAATAGCGGAAACGCCAAACGGTTTGGGCGGAATCGAGTGTGGGTTGCATTGCGCGCTCTGTCGTGGTAGGGAACGCGTTAACCTAAAATGATGACTGGTGCCAGTAGAAGCACTCTTAACCTTAAAATCGACCATTTACAGCTCGTCGTGCTCGACTGCGACACGATCAACCACCCGTCGCAGCTGGCCAAGACCAGCCTGGCTCCCACGATCGTTTATCTCAAGATCTCCTCGCCGAAGGTCCTCCAGAGGCTGATAAAGTCCCGCGGAAAGTCGCAGACGCGCCACCTCAACGTGCAAATGGTAGCGGCCGAGAAGCTCGCTCAGTGCCCGCCCGAAATGTTTGACGTGATTCTCGACGAGAACCAACTGGACGAGGCGTGCGAGCACGTGGCCGAATATCTGGAAGCCTATTGGCGGGCGACGCATCCCCCGATCGTCGCGCCGATCCCGCGGGCGATTCCGCCGCCGGACGCGCCGGTCGACGCGCTCGCTCCTCGCGGCGCGACACCAGGTACCGCCACTATTCGGCTTCTCGCGCTCCTCGCCGAGTCCCCCACCGACTTTCCCCGTCCCCGTGGAGATGGCGCCACAGGTGTTTTCTCAACGGCGTCGGTTATGACCGACTGAGACAGAGACTCGTAACGTGAGCTTCCCATGGACATAGGATGTATGTATATCAAAGAATTCAGAAATCTCCATAAATGCCCAGAAACGGTCTCTTTCAATTCTTGAGAATTCGATTAATTTAACCGAGAATGTAACAGTAATCTAAGGGAATTCAAGGGAACTCCGAGAAATTGCGTTTAAGTTATTTCCAAAGGTTAGTTAAACACTTTCAATAAGTAAAATTCATGAAGTCACGGTACTTTTTATAAATAGTGGCCGTTTTTTTTCTGAGTCTTATCTTGCTTGCGATGACTTTCTAGTTTCGCAGTTTCTGTTGCTCCTCTTGTTTATCCCAAGATGCACAAAAGGCTGAAGGGGTTAAGTTAACCGATTAACTGTGGCTTGCTAAGTTATTGAAAGTTCCGACATTCTGGTATTGGAAGTTTAAACAATTTTAATCTTCGCAGGTACAATTCGAGTTTTCACGCGGCACATTGATCACTCGTAGTTTGTTAGAATTATCGAGAATAACTCGAGTGTTATTGAACAGAAATTAAATTCTTATAAATTCTCGAAGATTTGTTGAGAACTTATCGTCGGTTATATTCCCCGTAATATGACGTACTGAAAACTCTACCCAGAGGTATACGGACGTTTGATTCTCGATAAATAGCCACCGGATGGAGGCACTGTAATCATCTCTCCATCTCCTTTAATTTTATGGCGACGTACAGCCAATTGCATTTTTTCATTATCTCACTCACAGTACCCGACTTTCTATGCGCGTCTCTCTTCCTCCTGTACGTGAGATGCCGTTGGCTGACACGTGCGATCTCTCTTTTATCCCCCACTCCTGATTTGTTAGCTAACTTTCAGAGCATTAAACGCTAATATAGGATCTGAGCTTTTATGGAATCTGAATTCTTTAGTATGGAGCGGAAAGTAGTAAAAGAAGATGCAACGTCTATGGTCGAGTTCACGGAAAGTGATCCCAGAATGAAAACCCAGGAATTTCGGATTTTCGCTGATCTAACGATGCGAGCACTACTTTCGGCAGTTGTTAAGAACTCCGATACTTTGCGTGCGAAACATTTACTATTGATGATTAGTGCCGGACAACGATATATCGTCGTTTGATAAATGCTAACGATTTCGGCCGGCACTAAAAGGGTTAATAACCTGAAACACTTGAAATTTTCCAATTAAGATACATCCTCTGTCCATACACGAGACGCGCAATTTCCATGGTTGTACGATTATGGGTACATACCGCTGATATTGCTGTAAAGACAGCAAAATCAGAAAAGAAAAAAAAAGAGAGAGAACGGAGAAGTTACTTTTTCCTGTTTCTCTTTCTTTTTACACGAAACGATTGCGTAGCGCGATATAGCGACAACCTATCTAACGACTAAACGAGAGAAAAGGAGTAAGGATAGCCTCTAAGTTCGCGCTCTTTCCTTTTCGCTGCCTTCATTGCGTTTACAAGCTCCATATATCCTACATCCATAAGATTTCCACCGAGGGGTTAATCATCCAGGAAATCCTGGATTTTAATGCCCGAAGTAACGTTGAAAATCATCTGGAAATCGAAAGCAGAAATCACCGGAAATCGTTGGAGACCATCAAAACATGGCCACGATTTTAAGGCCTACTGTCGCTCGTTACCGAATCGTATTACTGTTTATCAAAGGCAATCGGTTCCCAAAGAAGGAAATCGTTTTCACCGATTTCCGAGTGAATAACCCCTCGGTTTTCGTCCGAAAAGTTAATTAAGCTTCGTCGTTCCAATTCCCATCCTCGAATTAATCTCGTTATAGGGTCTCTGTTTCTAAGTACTATCTCACTATTGGTAATAACCGACAAAAGCGCCTGGCAATTAGGAGACCGAACATGCCTAGATTGTGTGTAGAAATGTTTTCCCGAAGTTTTGTAACCTGGACTCGGGTGGCGGTCCATTTTCGAGTTCGGTCTTCTGGTTGCGCTCTCCGTGTCGATCCTTTCCTCTTCGTCTCTCGTTTCATTGTTCCGCTCGACGCTAGACGCTGCTCTCGACTCGGCTCGGCTCGGCTCGGCTTGGTTAGCCTCTTTCCTTCTCCTCTTATTCGCCCTGGACGACAGACGCTGCGCGCGTCGTCGCTGCTGCACGGAGATGGGAAACTTTCTTCTTCTTTCTTTTCTCGTCCACTCGTATCTTTATTTTCTTCTTTATTCGGTACCCGGTCCCTTTAACCGGAGCCGCGATGAGTCACCTGTCACCAAGTCAAATCTTTTTGAAGAATCGGCACTGATGCCCGGTTCCACCAACCTCGGTGAAAAAGTTAATCCTCGGTTACGAGTCGCACGTTCCATCACATTCTAAAAGCTGGTTAATTTCCAGTAATCGCCCGATAAGTTTCTATTTTGCTTTCTAGTCGATCGGAGTATCAGCCAATCACGCTCCAAATAAATGTGGTGGAACATTTACGTTTTTAACCCATGATTAACTTAGACGTTAACTTTAACCTACGGTTAGGTAATGATTTAACCGAGGCTAGTGGAACCGGGCATGACCATCGCACTCGCGCGGACGCCATTGGCCGGCTAATCAATTAATCAATTATCAAGTAAAATGCAAATTAGCGGCGGCTCGTTTGACGGCGATGCAATTCCGGTGATGTAAATTGATTAGTCAGAGTGGATCGCTTGCACGGCCCTAAGTAATTACGGGTTTTATTAAATTCGGGGGTCAATTAAGCCGCCAATGTGATTAAATTCTAAACGACTTTTGCAGGAGGCTTAAAATCGATGTAAAAAAAAAAAGAAATTCAACCTAACCTCGTAGCGGACGATTGATTGCCAAACGAAGTTACTCCCTAGGGAAATGACGAATCTCCTTGAATTGGATATAGAAGGAAAACGTTTCGTGGAACCCTTTATGTCGGACTGAATCGGAAGAAACTCTTTCAACGTTAAAAGTCGCTTTTCGATTTGGGCTCCGTGACTGTGCATGACCCTTTGGAGTCGAGTCCGCTATAGTGGAATGACAGAAAGAAGTCTAACCCCGCCCTGAACAAGGGACTCTAGGACCCGGCAGGAGCCTTAACCGTAACCAGCAAGTCTTAATAGCCAGGACTAATCTCCCCGTATAAACTAGCTCAAGGCCTGACCGATGTAAGGGCTTACGCGACGACGGGAACTGTCTCAGGGTCCATCCTGACTTACGGCTTCAAGAAACCCAACATATTCACTCTTCCCATATCATTCGAAAAGTTATGTCGTTTTCTAGCAACCCTTTTTGCCGAGATCCTGAGTATTTAGGATATAGACAATGACGGTAATTGCTAAGTAACTTTCGCTACCCTGCTCGTGACGTTGCTTCAAAGTTCTCGTATGAACACATAATTGTTAGAATCTGAACCGGCATTGACAATCACGTTTCCAGATGAGATAAGACAGACAATGACGGTGGATTGCGTTACTATCGGTGTTCTGTTTGGGATGTTACTTCAAAGTTCGTCTATAACACGACAGAACTCTTGGAATGGTCTATAGACCTAGCAAGTCGGTCATCTAAGTAGTTTGTCTCTGTCAAGAGTTCCAAGTTATCAGGCACCAGGAATAACGTGGTTGTCAAGGCTGGAGGTGCACTTCGCATTTTGGTTGGAAGCATCTACGGGAAGATATTAACTGAATGTTGGGTTCCTAGCTGCAGAAGTGCATAGACCCGAAAATGGAATCATGGAGCTTATAGGAATGGAGAGGGTATAACATAAGTACTTGTTCAGGTATCCATAGGAGATTAGATACCGAGAAATCTTCCGTTTTTAAACTTTTCCAGAACAGCACGCATATTACTTAAATTTCAGTCTAAATTAAAGAGGTTATGGAAGCGGCATCTTAATTGTTCATGGAAATTACCTCCGAAGTACTGAATCTTTTCAAACTTTACGACGCGAATATGGAGACCATAAGGAAGGTCTTGCCGCTCATGAAATTTCATCCCTCGTACCAAATCTTTTAAATGTCTATAAACAAATTAAAAAAAAATTGAAACTTCGTGGGCCTCAGGACTTTCCTTATAGCCTCCATGTTCATGTTGTAAAGTTCTAAACAATTCGGTACGCCCATTTCGGAGAAAAGTTTCATAAACGAGACCTCTTTGACGCCGCATTCACCTAAGTGATAGGATGAGTGATAAAGAATATCTAAAGAAACTTGTCGTCTTCAATAAAAAATGTATTAATTTTGTGGTATCTCTCTTTCAAAATAAAACGTTACATGCTCTATACTGGCCGGATAAAAGCCTCCGGAAAAATTTATAAACGGAAGTATATCCCGCCTAACTTTCTGTGGAGGCTGTTAATGTTGTCAACCTTATGTGTCTATTTCATTTCTATAAGCTCTATGGGCAAGTTCCCCGTCTGCTGGGGGGAAAAGCAAGGCCTCCCGGTCCAGCCCTAACCACTGGTTGCTCTACACGTGATCTTGTTCTGTTTCGTGTGTGCAAAAGCCGTGGAGGCGGTGGCTGCTACGGGAGTGATCCGCAAGCAGGGTCGCCTCAGCTTGCGCGACTCCAAAATCCGACCCCGGCCCCGTTCCCGGCCCGAGGGCGAGGGCGACGAGTCGAGTTAGCCCAACCGGGCTAACTGTCCTCCACTTCTTCTACCACTCTTGGCCGCACTTTCTCGGAAGACAATAGCCTAGGCCCGCGCGCACTCAGAAGATCCTAGTGTCGTAGCTCTAGGCCGAGAACCCGGGGGACAGAGAAGGGGCCCCCGACCATGTCCGGCCGAGCCGGAAATCGGAGGGAATATCGGCCGGAAGTCTAAATCGGTCGTCTAGAGTAGGCCTTTTCTCCCGCTCGACCGAGGGTACGGATCGCACCTTGGACGTGCACGATTTGGCCGAGCAACGAGGTCGCGGAAACGGAGCTTAGAGAAGGAAACAGGAAAGGAACGTCAGAAACGCAGCGTTCGACTCGCGTAGATCGACTGGACCTCAATTCGTGCGAACGTTCGATTTTTTTTTTTTTTTTTTTCAATAAAACGGCATCGGGCGAAGTGGCTCCGCGATGTCTAATAGCTTCCCCTACTCGCACTGTGGGAGAAGCTATTCAACGCAGCGGAGTCACTTTGACAAGTTGTTTCAAGGTACGTATCGGTCCATCGCACAAGTAACGCGGTCCTTTTCTATTTCGTCCTACAAGAGAGAACCACGTTACTTGTACGATGGCCGAGGACGTACTCCGAAATTTCGTCTCTAAAGCTCCTTTTCTCCCGAGCACGTGGTAAGACGAAATCGGTCCAGTTGCGTACGTCCACGGATTGCGATCGATCGATTCCGCGAGCAGGACAGAGGACCGGGGAGGGGTGCGGGGAAAGAGGGAAAGGCTAGCTTGCCCCTAGTAAGTACGAGGATGGGTTTGATGCATGGGCCCGGATGAGAAACCAACCAGTTTTCTACTCACCCCGAGAATCAACCCCCCTTTAAGGCAAGCTAAGAGTAAAGTGGACGAGCGCAACGGACGGGAAGGAATCACGAGTCTCATCGACTCTCGGCTCGGTGGCCCCCCGTAACTATAACGTACTTTTTCACCTTCTACCTGAGTTTTGGTCTAGAATTTGACTCACGTCCTGACTTCGCTCGTTTTGGAGCACCCCGTCCCGCCCCTACTTCCAGCCCGTGTTTCGTTTGTCTCTTGGCTAGTTGACGTGTCCCCAAACACCCCTGCCACCCTCTCGTCCCACTGTTTGTTGGTTTTCGGTTGACCTCTGTAGCCTCCACGAACTATACACGCTCTCACATAGACTAGGACCTAGATTAGTCGAATAACGATAGAGAGTAAGGCGCTGTGTACGGTTGTCAATCCGGGATCCGTCCACTTCAGGGCGCAATTCTCGACTCGGAGTCGCGGGGACGTGGTTCGGGAGGGATTCGGGAACAAGGCCCCGAATAATGGGCCCGACTGGTCCACCGAGTTCCTCGTCGCTAAGGAGAACCTCCTCGATCGGCACCCTTCTTCTTTTCTTTTCTCATTTTTTTTCTCTCTCTCCCTCTGTCTCTCTTTACTTTCTTTTCTTTCCTTTTCGCGGGTCTTTGCCGAACGTCCAGGCTTCGTTTCGATGAGTCGCCTCGCATCCTAACCTCTTAATGCTACCGATGGACGCTTGCACGGTGCATGCACGTCGCCCGAGATGGGCCTTACGGGCCCACGTTTGTTTGTCTGGGATTCGACGCTTTCGCTCTAACGCTTTACTACTAACATGTAGGTATTCGTGCACGGTGTTTGGGTAGAACTCGCGAGTCGACACCGTTGGTCTTCGAGATGAGATCCTGAAGAGCACCACCTTGGCCCGTGTCGTCTCGCCGATGAATCTTTTCCACCGAGGAAATGTATGGAAGTTTGCAAGGTTTTAACTTACTAGAAATCCAGCCTCGTTTCCGTGACACCCCTGATCTCTTTCTGAACATCTTAACCGTTGTTAGAATTAGCCGTGAATTTTTCCAAACATTATAAAGCCAACAATGAAAAAAGCGTGAGTATGGACAAGATGTACCCACAGGGGAGGGTAAGGAAAACAATAAAATTGGTGTTCAGGGAGTCCTTTTGATCTGTTAATGGCTCACATGAGGTAAAAGTGTGCACCTCGCCACCTTCGTCTTTTCCATACATTTCCCGGATGAGGTCACCCATGCGTGCTCGAGGTCGATCGGTCCAATTCCTGGGCCCCGAGTCCCAGGTTCCGGGCCGAAACCCCGGCGACGCACGCATGGGTGACTTCGAGGTCGCAGATTCGGGCAAAGAACTCGGGCAGCATTTAATCCGATTCCTCTCTGTCCGGGGGTAGGATCGTCGAGCTACGGCGGAGGCGGCGGCGGCCACACGATAGGTGGCAGCACCAGGAGGTCGAGGCTCGAGAGACTGGAGCGGGACCGAGGCGCGGACCGCGGGGAGCACGACTATGGGGGAGGCGGAGGGGGCATCGTCGAGGAGGACTCCTACGTGGGAAGCGCCGAGTACGGAGGAGCGCCGCGACGTCGCCAGCAGCAAGACGCGAGAGCTCTCGGAGCCATCTAGGAGCCGGGGCCCCGGGGCCTGTCGCTGCAGCGCTGTCCGCACCTGCGCACGACCGCCCTCTAGTCCGATCCGCAGTCGGGCCACCCTCGCGCCGCGCGCAGCCCCTCGAGCAGATCCCGGAGTGGCCACTTAACCGGAGGGGTTCGTCCGGGTGACCGAGCCGTCACCTACACGGCGCGCCGGAACCGCTGGGACCTCCCTGATTCGAGTCGTGATTGAGAGAGGAAACGGTAGAGGCAAGGGTCAAGTTGTCCCGGAACTCGTGGTAATCCCTGAAACCGACGGAAGTTGATGAGATCTCCTGTTTCACTTTTTCCTCGAATAATTAATTCGTCGAGTTATTAATGATTAAAGGTAACCGACACCGTGTCATCTGTCCGGGATGTAGAAATGTCCGGTCTCCAGCGATCCGCGGCGTCGTCCAGGAGGCGGCAAGGACGCATCCCGCGAGTCCGGCGCCATAAGTGTCCACTCCGAAGGCAGAAGGAGCGCGGCGCCCCGATTAACAGTCGAAAAGAGCCCCGGGGCCCTTTGTTTTCGAGCCGCGTCCTCTCGGGCCCCGAGAAAGACCCACCTTGATCCACGACGCACACCGCGCGGCGTCCTGACCTCTCGGACCGCCTCTCTGAGACCATCCTCACCGCGAGCGAGCCGTAGAGCTTAATAGAAACGGAGAGGCACTCGCTAGGACGCACATTTTGCCGGGTGTCCCGGCTAGCTAGGACCCGATCCAGTAGCCGATCCGGCCACTTTGGGCCCCGCCAACAACGATAGACGGTACCCAGGCGATTAGCCAGCGGTTACCTTAGTCGACCGTCCCGTAACCGGCGGTACCTAGTCGAAAGTTGAGACCAGACCCGACCTAGAGGGTCTCTAGTCCAGATTACTCCGAGCATACACCACGATCGGACGAATCGCGTATCGTTAACGACCCTCCCTTCGCGTCCTTGCCTGGCGCGCTACGTAGGAAGAGTGCCCAAAGAGACTCGAGAGGGTGGCCGGCTTTTGTCTCTAAACTTTCCGGGAATATACGGTACGCTTCCCGCGCGACGTTTCATTACCCAAGTCGACTTAACTTACGTGGCATTTCCGACCTATGCTTATTAAGGGCCATTCGCTCTAAGTGCAGGCGAGGCGCGCGCGCTATACAGTAGGTCAACGTAAGCTGTAGTAGTGAACTCGCACAACGAATCTCGCGGAATCTCTAGAAAGAAGAGACGGCTCTCCGTCCGGTCTCCTCCGAGCACGATCACCTCCCGGTTGACACCCTCCATTCCTATAAGTTCTACGGCATGGTTGCATCGCGTCGACCCTCGCTTTAGAATCTCGGATTTCGATTTGCGGTTTCTGTTTCCGATGCCGAATCCGTAATGGTTTCCCGTCCGCCCTGCGCGATTCGAGTTTCGCCAAAAGTACGGTCGCGCGGAGCATCACTTGGACCCTCGACGGCGATCTTAGATGAGGTCGTTAATCGGAATTCGAAGCTCGCGAGCGGCTAGTCGACGCGAAGCTTTCTCGTCCACGTCGAGAGACGGCTCCATAGACGACGCGTCGCTGTACATAGTGTAAGAAAAGCTCTTAGGGGGTCGGAACTCCGATCCAGATCCGTTTCGGCGCTGCCTGTTGCGGCCGCCACCGGGTGCCACGCGCGTAATCCTCTACGTCGCTGGCAGACCTCCAAGTCCCTGGAAAGGGAAATCCCACACCCTCGAAGAGATCTATATTCCACGCTGAGGAAAAATAAATCGCCAAACAGACGCCAGTCCTCAAAACGCATACGATATGCAACTACGGAAGGACGGAACAACTTTGCGAGTCGTAACTCTTCAAATCGCAGTCGCGTGGCATATACTTTTCAGAGACTGGCGTCTATTTCACGGCTCGGGTGATAACGTTCAATATTATTATTTTCTCAGTGCTGAGGGCTCTCTCCCGGTATCCTTTCCAACGCGGTTAATTCTCACCTCCTCTGAATTCGTCGCATGGATTTCTACAAATTAATCCGCACCTAAATCGAGGATTCATAAGTATCACCGTGCACGAATTGGAATTAAAATTCCAAGCGAGAGAATCCGCAATGATAAAGACCTCGTAAAGTGAGAACTTCTCGTGTCTGCGATTTGATTCTACCGCGACTTTGCGATCGTATCTAGGTTATGTATCGCGCAGTCCAGGGAGTCCTATGATCGATTACCCTAGCGATGTAGAGGAACTACGCGGGTGTCGGGTGCTCGGTTCGATCGGAGCCGACCACTCGTCAAACCGTTGAAAGTCCCCGGCGAGATTGGGCCTTGGGCCCGGTCGTCTCTTCGGGGACTCTTCGCGTGCGTCTCGGGCACCTCCGACGTGCATCGACGGACACCAGTGCCACATCGTGCGCATCTACAGGGAAGGCATTAGCGTCCGTCGTTGCACCCCCGATACTCCGGCGCAGCCGCACCGAGCTCGCAGTCGCGTGTAATTATTATTAACGATTAATCTTATAAATAAACGACGATGCGACTACTTAGGCGGAGGGTGATTTACCAGTGCCCCCGCGCGGTTACTACGTAGCTAGGCGAAATAGGTGCCGGTTGGGTGCGTCAATCGGTCATTATAGCTGCGCGCGTCCTGACTTTCCACCTGAGCATCCATTACGAAATGATAGAAAGCCACCCTACTCGTCGGGACCCCCAGGTGTCGAGACCATGAGGGAAATAACAATACCGACTCTTTAACGTTCTTGACGAGGTATTTTGCGACCCTATATCGACCTTTTAACGCATTTCACGAGATATCTCGAAACCCAATGCCGACTATTTAACGAAAGGTATCTAGCGAATTCATCTCAGCCAAGACCTGTATATTTACAGGTGTGCACCAGGAATGGAGAGAGACCACTCGAGAAAATTGCTAAGCTTATTAAAAATGCAGAATAATGTCAGGGTCAGCTGGCAAGTCGAAAACGTTGAATAGGTCAGGATTTGATCGCGAAATTTTCGTGAAAAGGGTTAAACGGTCGGTATTGGGTCGCGAAGTATTTCGTGAAAATTGGTAAAAAGCCCAGTATTGCACCGCGAGATATCAAAACGTTAACAAGATCGGTATTAGATCGTGAGATATCTCGTATGGGGAATGAAAGGGTTAATGAGAAAGATTGCGAAGCAAGGTACTCCTCCGAGGTTCCTTTTCTTCAGGGTCTCGACCGCTCGCGTCGGTCCCGTCGTTTTCGGCGTCGTCCATCGGGCGACGGCGCGGTACCATTCTCGGAGCTTTTTTCTCCTGCTTGTCCCCGACTAGACATTCTTTTCTCTCGATCAAGGTGCCCCCTTTATCCGGAAAGTAATGCGAGAAACGATAGCTCGGGAGCCTCGCCTGTGTAGGACATATTGCGACCCGCTCCCGAGGGAGTCGCCCTCGTGGCCTCGCGATCGCGACCCCACAATAGAAACGGCCGAATCCTCCATTCCCTCCCTCTAGTCTGAGGGAATCAAACGTGGAACCAGCTACGGGATCGCCTAGAATCACGAATTTCGACCTCGAGATCAAATCCGAGTCGGACGAGCCGAGCTTTTCTCGTCTCCTTTCCGACTTCAAAGAAGTCTCTTCCGAAATTTGTCCTCGCTTCCCCCGGGAACTATTGGTCCGTTCCATAAGTTCGCGGACATGTTTCCCTTGCAATTAATTCTATCCGGATAATTGCGCATTCGAGTAAAACTCCCGGGAAGGTGGGAAGAAGTGATTAACCGCGTATATTGTATTATTTCATAAGGGGGTTGAGTAGGTTGCGACATACGTTTTATTCCATGTGGGTTAAGAGAGATTGAAAAGGCGTTGAAAATAATTACTTAAGGGGGTCCTTTATTTGATGCTCTAAGGAGAGTTCAAGATGAAGGAGGTTTTAAACAAAAAATTCCTGGCTTCGGAAATTAGGAAAAATTATATCAGATCCGATGACACGGTTTTTCAATAAAAGAGGGATTCAGATTCTAGTTAACGGACGCCGACAGGAATCCTCTTTTCAATGCTTTTCGCGCTTTAATCGTTGATACCTTTTGAACAAAAGGTTTCGTCAAAAGTTCGTGCCATCGGTTCTCAAACGATTTCTTTTAGTTTCTGAACCGCCTTAACTTTTCGTTCCTGACTTGCCGCTATCCTGGAATCGTGTACAACGTGCAAAAAAGTCAGAAATTTCCAGTCTTTACGAGTTCGAGATGAAAGATATTAAAACACTCTTTTTATTTACAAAGCCTCCGTAGAAAGTCAAATAAAGTCACCCTCTAGAGAAAATATTTCCTATAATTACCTCTTCGTTTCCCTTTAAGCTCACCTTGATTAACCAGTTAATTGCATAATTTACCGAAATAACGTTTCCGTTTGCCGCGTACCCTCGTCAAACGCAGTTAACTGGTTAAAACGTACATTTCGCAACCCACTAACCCCCTTATTACGTGTTTCTCTTTATTGAAAAAGGAAAAAAAAGAAGAAAAAAACCAATTAATATCTCTACCTTTGCAAATCTCTCCCCGAACTCACGGAACAACCCGATACTTCCCCCGCCCTCCGACTCCTTCTGCGGTGAATAATATCCTTTACTATCCATCTCCCTTTTATCGATACTTTTCGATCGGTGATTTACGAGAAGTTCGCGACTACTTTCGACCGGGCGAAATCGCCGCGCGATATGAGAGAGACCGAACGCGACCTCGGCCATCTTTATCCGCGGGATCTTGTCACCGCGACGGGGTGACCCCCTCGATGTCTCTTTAATTTAGCCATAAGTGCTCCTAATAGGACGGAAATCTCCGGATCTCCAGAATCGTTTCGGTCCAGCCGGATAGAGGCGCCGCGAAACCGCCGAAAGGAAAAGAACGGGCCTCGACGCGCTCTCCCGAGAAAAGGCTCCCGCAAGATCGTTTCTATGTCGATATACCGATATTACCGATGCTGTGATGTTACCCCTGGAAACTTTGAAAACAGTGTCTACCACCTCACCGGTCTCGATGCGTCTCGGTTTCGAGGACTTCGTCCTGTCCAGCGAGGACGCGCCCTCGAGGCCGCAAGGACCTTCGAAATTCCCGCCATTAACCGGGCCACCAATTTAAATTCCGCCTTCCACCCCATAGCCATACCGAATACTTATGTCAAAACCCGTCGACGGCTAGCATCCTATGCTTAGAGAAAATTCATAGGGCACCCTTAACGACCGGAATTCGAGACGCCTTGGAGCCTTCGAGGGCTCGTCGAGGCCGGACGCGAGGAGAGCTCGCTCTTCGAGGAATCGATGTTTCCACGAGTGTGCCCCGCGTAACCCTCGAACCGTTAAATTCTAATCGTACTTAATGTAAAGAGCGAGAGAGCGAGAGAGAGAGAGAGATAGAGCGAAAGAGAGAGAGAATAAGAGAGCCGTTTCATCGGTGGCAGTGATTTTTCTTGCGAGAATTAGTGGTTCTTCGTCAGAGGACACGGCTTGGGGGAGTCCCCCGGAAACGAGGAGCCTTCTGCGCGCGCTTCGCGAAGTCACTGCACGATGCACGTACCACTGGGAGACATCAATGCCCTACCATCCTGCATAAGCGATGCCGTATCTGCAGGGGAGGCATTCATGTCCACCATTGTACCTCGGCACGAGATGGGTCCTCTTTTCGAAAAATCACCAAACTCGAGATTCCTACACCTGTTGCATTTGTAAATAAAATTTTTATTATCACATACGTCATGAGCCCGTGTGCCTGTGTGTGTCTGTGTACTTGGGGAAGTCCGACTCGTGTGCGTATATGCTTCGAAAATTGACGGAGGGTCTCAATTCTTCTAAGGACAGGTATCTTGAATGACAAATGTCTCCTTGGGTGTCAAAGGTGTCCAATGACTCACCAGGCCTCCTGCAACGACTTGGGCTGGGTGAACCTGAAATCCTGTTTGAGGCACAAACAAAATTAACAGGATTATTGGAATGTTTCTACGATATAGACGTTTACGTCAAGTTGAGTTTTGTTTATGGCATTTTTTTTTTTACAAAAACCAGAGCTGTCCAAAAAGAAAAACAAATTCCTAAATCGTTGAAATATGGATTTTCGACTATAATCAGAGATGAGTTGGGAGATTGCTCACGGGCAGAATCGTGCGATCGCATCCTGTGCTGCCCTCTGGTTTCGTACGTTAGCTTTCACCGTTTTTTCCGAGAGTTCCGTAAGCGACACCGACGCGTGCCCCAAAGCTCCGCATCACGTCGACTTCGGGACAACAATGTACTTAATAGCAGTAGATAAGTTGATAAAGTCTAATGGAGCGTCACGAGTGTTCTTCCCTTTCCATGAAAAGCGAGCAGTGTCGGTAATCGTAGGTAAGCCCCCACCGTCAACTGCCTCATGGTATTACCACCACGAGTACGTGAGCCGCCAACGACGACTGGTAGATGGTGCCTCCATCGTGAGTGCGCGAGCTCCTATAAGAAATTCGTTGCGCCGCCTTTGGGGGCAAAAAACGGTGAAAGCTAACGTACAAAACCAGAGGGCAGCACAGGATGCGATCGCACAATCCTGTCCGTGAGCAATCTCCCAACTCATCTCTGCTATAATGGCTTCTCCGGCGGTAGGAAAATTCAGAGCCTCCCAGAACCTCGGAAACGGTAAAATGGTCATTTACGGAATTTATTCTTTTTTTAACAGCTCTGGTGTTTGTTAGAAAAATAAAATGGCACAAATTTCTACATCACAGCAACATTCCAATAAGCCTGTTGATTGTTTTTGTGACTCAGACTGGATTCCAGGTTCACTCAGCTAACGATATGCCATTAAGGACGCCTCTCGTTAGGTGAAACAATGCGCGTCGAGCCAAGGTACAACGTTTATTTCGCCTCCTCGGCAAGTACAAAGTACAAACAAATGATACGACCACTATTTACACGCTTATCTTAGGTACCAGCTGGAATTCGACGCATCGCTCATCATCTCCGTCGTCAAGTGGACCGGCCTTGAAAAGCTGACCTCCACCGCCCACGCATCGAGGGGGCCTCACCTTCCGACGTGCATGTCGCGAATTGCCATCTCTTTGGTACAACGCTCAAGGCGCGAGGAGCGACCCCTCTCTTCGTACTCAACCTTCAGACCCGACACCGAAATCGGCGGGGAATTCTTCACAGGCCTTCAACCGAGACGGAACGAATTTCACGGAATTTCACGGAATTTCACCCCGTAATCCATTCGGCACTGTTCGCGGCGAGCCCAGAGTTGCCAACCGACCCGACGTAACGATACTGTACACGACTTTACAGAAATATAGGTGACAACCTACGACACGGTGCAGCTCCCCTTATACGCGAAATCCGCCACTCCACGCGCATCGTCGAAGAAACGTCTTCGTGTCTCGTAATCCTCCTCGCTGGGTGAGGTTGGCAGTCGTCGGTGACCTAATACTTGAAACCGAACGCTGAAATCGCTCGTGCAAACGACCGAGTCGCATTACAGGAGTTAAACAACCCTCGTCCGAATCGTTGGTCGCATTCGGAAACGACCTAAGAGGGATGTAGACCCTGGAGGTACCACCGATGCGCTCTTCGTCATCGACCACATCACCGCGCGACACGACTTCCGCCCCAGATTCCGTACTATAATACTTTAATGGCTACGGCCTACCATTATTGGCTTTTACGGTCCGCTCTCCGCATGCGAGACATTGTAGTGGAATACCTTAATTACATTATAATTGGCAACTCTGGATAGAACGGGGAAGAAGCTGCGAGGGAAATCGGACGCGCGTTGAAGAACGGTTCCACGGGGAGAGGAAATGCGATTAGATTAGTCAGTTAATTAAACTAAGACACGTTAATTGGTCGGATTTGACCGCGATACCCCGATTAAACTCCCAGCTTCTCACGTTTTGGATCCCCGAAGCCTCGAAGGAACCGTTCTTCGAGATTCGTCCAACGTCGTCGGTAACAGGCAGAAGGTCAAGGCGATTTCTACTCCTTACGTACGATCTGGCGCTTAACTAGCGACGCGTGCAATAATAAATAACTTGTCTCGTGTATGCGTGCGTGTACTTATGCGAGCGCGAGCACAAAGGACGCATAGAAAGCTCCCTATCGAACGGGTCCCGGGGGCTCCGTGCGCGTCACAAAGCGATCCTTTTATAGGCGCATTAGAACCGTCCAACGGACCTCGCGTCCGTCACCTCTGTCTCTTCGGCGCTATTTACACGGACCACTGCGAAGTCCTTGCGCCTACCTTTGGTATAGTTTCCTCCGTTGCCGACTTTTTCTTACATTCCTACGCGCAGGTTAACCTGGCATCTTCGTTCCCGGATAATGGAGCTCGGCTCTCCATTGCTTCTCTCCCCACCGCGCGGAGTCGCATGGCCCGGTCGCCGGAGTGGGGGATGCTCGCTCGGACAAGCAGAGCTTCGCCCTGACGCATCAAAGTTGGGATTATCGTTTCCACGGAAAGGACAGCCGGCGACCGTCGCTTTCGCCCGGGTTTCTTCAGATAAAGAAGTAGTTCTCGTAGGTGGAGTAGGGCGACGACTTGGACAGGTGACTCGCCGTGATCGGGGAGGAAGGAACTCCTCGGGAAAATTGAGCGACGCTCGTCGGCGGCCTCGCGGTCTGCATCCTGGACAGGGCCTCCTTCCTCCGGTCGGCGTCGTGGTCGCTCTTCGGGTCGTTGTCGTTGTTGTTGTTGTCGTCTCTTGCCACGGACCTGTTGTTGTACTGGTGGCTGTGGTGGCGCCGATGCTGCTGGTGGGGCGAAAGGGCATCCTCGTCGTTGCGGTCGTGGTCATCCGAGTTGGCGCGGAGTTGCGTCGCGGTCCGCAGGTGCAGCCTCGACATGGCCATCGCCACGGCCGAGTCCGAGGTCCACGTGCTCTGCGGTCAAGAAGTCGCCTTTAAAATCCTACTTCCCCGAGGAGGCAAGCTCGCAAAAAGCAAAACGCCATTTAAAATGCGAAACTCGAGCCTCGAGTAAGCTTCCCCCGGAAAAATGCCTCACACCTCTAGGGGCTATCTACGGTCAAGGCGTCAGCTGTAGAGTAGGTGCACCGTGCCCACCTTTCTCACGTGGGGGACGTAATCAGGGTTGCGCCTGATCCGCAGGTGGTGATCCGAGTCGGTCCACCTCTGGGTAACTCTCAGAGGCGAGTCGTCGGGGTGCAGCTTTCTCTGGTACTCCTCGGCTTCGCAGACCTCGTAGAGGGAGAACCGTTCCACCCTCTCCGTGGAGCCGTAGCAGCTCAGAAGCATCTGAATCAGCTCGTCCACGGTGGTCCGCTCCGAAATCAGGAGGCTCTTGTACTTAGACTGGAAAGCGAAAGGAACTCCGTGTACTCGGAGATAAACCGCGATATCTGGATCTAAGATACTTCGGAGGCACGTTCGCCGTGGTAGCTTCACCGGTGCGCATTGTCATCCCGGGCACGAGCGAGTCCTAAAAATACTACCGCTAAGCGGAGCTGGAACGCATTAAGGCGGCGCGGGACCAGCTCTTGGAGGATTTCCAGAACTCGAATCTACGATTCGATCGGATGTCCCGGTGACACCGAAAACCCGAGGATTCGCCGAATCGCGGACTCCCGTGCATTCTCAAGCCCAGTCTCCTCTTTACTCACCCCTGACATCAGAGCGCTGTCGTAGATCTTGACGAGGCCTCCGCGTCGCGTCTGCAGCGAGAACCTGCAAGAATATGCAAATCTGTAGTCCACCTTAAGAATCCTAAATAATAGTTCTTAAAAAAGAATCCACGCAATCGGAAAATAGAGATACTAATGCTACCCCCTCACTTGCAGCATGGAGCAAAACATGTTTCAATTGGGCCTGATTTTCCTGCGAAATCGGTATACCGCGGAATACAGCTCTTGCAACTAGTTAGACCAACTTTTTAGCAGAAAAAAAAAATTCGGAAAACATACTTACGCCATAAAGACTTGTATATTGTGCTCATTTATTACCTTTTGTTTTTGTCGATTTAATATCTACAGAGATGCGTGGCAGCAAATGAAAAGGTAGCTTAACTATGTGGAAACCAACCTGGAGTCCCCACGAGGGTGGCAAGATTGAAGCACCGCAGGTCTCGCGTCCTCGTCGAGGGGCAAAATCGTGCGGACGTTGGCTCTCCTGACCGTCACCTCCATTGTCATGTAGAAGAGCTTCGGATCTCGATGCCTCATGCGATATTTGTTGAGGAGGTTGCGGACGATCTCGCGACACGTCGTCGCGTAGGTGATGCTCAGGGTCTTGTACTCGATGTCGGGCCGCAGGCAGTTCGCGTAGACCTTGATCGTCGTCTGCGGAGGAAAAAGAAAGAGGATCGTAATTTCGGAGTCCTGCGTGGGTGGACATATTTACGCGAACGGCCCACCAAGATTCACCTTCGTGATGTGCATTAACCAATTCGACATTTCTAAGTTAGAGTCTGACGCGTGTAATAGACGTTCGACCGCGAAACCAAGTAAGGACCGTTCCAAGAGGTGGTCGGAAAAAATTTGACCCTGCGGTCTTCTTCAGGAAGAATGAAATACTGTCAGCCAAACTGGGAAGAAGGATATCGGAAGGTGTCCCAAGATAGAAGCGTCTCTTCTGACATGGATGCGGTATTGACGTCGTCGATGGGGACCAAACCCTGATCTCTATAATAACCGAACAGGTGATTCCTATTCGCTCTAAACGGAGTTTTGTACAAATTCGGAGACACACATGTAATGATGAACGTGAGCCGCGCTGCTAAAAGACATGTCAGTTGATTTCGAGATTCCGAGATTTTCGATCGAATTAAATAGGAATACGTGGCGGAGAAAATTACTGCTAATGTACGGACATGCGAGAATTTATTGAGACCGTGAGATGACTCATGATCCGTATCAATCGATAATTCGATATACCGTAGTCAGTTATAATCGCCACGCCACCTTATGGGGTAATAGATATCCAGTACAGAGATCAGGGAGTTCAGCGCTCCCAGAAGAACCCCGCGACCAAACGTGGCGTTTTCTTTGCGATTCTTTTCCGCCGATCGATCTCCCCGTTTCCTTCGAGCCGCCGCCACTGAAAGCGGATAGAAGAACGCGAGATGAAGCAAAAGACAAAACTCGAGAGCGTTTCTTAGATGCGTAGACTGCGACCCGTAGATCTCGCCGCTTCTGTTCCCGCAGGTCCTTACCCTCGCCAGCTTCCGGTGGAGCGTAATGGCGGAAAAAGGGTAAAACCGCAGGAATCGGCCGGCAGAATGTCGGTCCCCCGATAAGGGGACGTCGATATCGGCCACGTATAGTCCCTAGATACCGAACTCAACGTTTTGGGTGGGTATGAGGCATTCATATCTTTCTCCAAATCCCGGCAGTCTTGTAACCAAAGGTCCCCGGTTACATTCGACGGCCACGACTCCAGTGATAACGACTGTCGCGATAACGCGGCAATTTTCACCAAGGCATCGAGTCCTATATCGGCACCTGTCCAGCTCCAACTCTGCCGGCGCCAAAATCGCGACCGACACATGTTGGCGGACAAAGGACTCCTTGGAAAGATAGGTCGAATAGAATACGAGCAGAATCCGAGCCGCGTTCAGGTGAAGCGAGACGTTTATATTAAGCATTCCCGGCCACTGTTTATATTATACATCATATCACGTTATAATGATTTTTGTAACGAACCGTTTTTATTACCCAGAAGTTAGGTTTAGGCTAAATGTAAAAAATTGTATTATGTTGAATTATGTTGAACCTTGGCATCAGCCGGGCCCACTTCGTAATTTTTTTTATAATTTCAGCTAAACGGGTAATAAACTTTAGAATAATATTTTGATACCAGAAGAGTAGGAATTAATTGATATTTTTCTTCGTTAATAAGCGTCCTCGCGTGAAGAAGTGATGAAGAAAAGTGCTCACACTTCAACCGCTAGCGTAGACTGGGAGACATAAATGCCCTCCCATCCTGCACAGGCGATGCCGTATCTGCAGAGGAGGCATTCATGCCCGCCATTGTACACCACATCGCTGTCACTGACGAAGAGGTACTATGGCGGTTATAACACATATATATCGGAAGTATCTACTTCTTCCCGGGCCTTCGATAGCCCAGCGGTTATGCTCACCGTCTGTACACTGGCGGACATGAATGCCTTTCTTATGGATAATGTGCTGCCAATGTATGGTGGCCGTATTTGCAAGACTCGACCTTGCGGGTGCAAAAGAAATTTTCTGCAAGACTGTAAGATCAAGACCAACTTTGCTCGTTACTATCTATAGATTTCGATATTACCGCACACGTACGATCATACGATCATACGTCTTAACGTATCAGCGTGGATATTGAATATCGAAAAACGACGAGGACGAAACGTCATGAACCCTGTTCGTGTACGACCTGGAAGGATTGCCGTCACTCCTGTTCGTCCCTTGGGAGCCATCCGACCCGGCGTAGCCGCCATCAGCAGTTTTGTCGAAGCACTATCGGGTTTGTCGGCAGCGCCGCGTGTCGTATATCCTCGCCGTTGTCTTTAGCCGACGTTATTATTGTTCGTCGAATAAACTCTAAACCGACGCGTCTGCTTGCGACGCGACATTCTCATCGTCGATGACAACTCGCGTCGAGTTTGGTGCAACCAGCCCACGACAAGCGGGAATGTTTGGTCTGCGCCCAAGAGTCCCAAATAGGGCCGGATCGGATTAACCGACACTGTGGCAACTGTGAAATCTATCAGCCAAAGCAAGAGTGGCGCAATCGATCGATAACCGGCGAACCGACACCGATCGGTCACTGCAAAAGACACCCGTTTAACTTGTCGCGTGGGCATCGATTGCGCCCAACGAGTTTCCGTTGTTCCACATCCGAAATTGTGGATCAAAGAACAGATCTCAACGCTCGTTTAGCTATTATGGGTAACTATGGCCGAAAAAAAACACCATTCATATACTATGGGTGACTACAGTCGCTCGCCACGAATTTATTACAGGCAATAAGTACCGGTAATTGTGACAGTGGGCTAAGAAGAAAATCTAGAGAAAATGGATTTCTCCCATAGTTCGTGTTACATACGTGTAAAATACGATATAAATGACTTAGGCAACTATCACAATCAGCCGCACACTTACTGCTAGTAAAGCCGCATACCGTAGGTACACGGCAGATACTTAAATATTTAGTGCAACTGTCTATTAGGAATATCTCCCCGCTGTTTTAATTGCATCACGTTACGTTAAAAACGGCGATAACTTATTCCTCAACCTAATATTTGAGTATACCTCCGCTTATAAAACAGTCATTTGTTGAATGAATTGCTTTGTGGTGGGATAAATGCTGCGTGCTTCTTGTATGTCTTCGGTGTACGGCTTTACTTGGAAATAATATTTCCACCGACCACTCCGTAATAACAGAAGTATTACGACATTTTCCGGAAGACGTTTAAATCGAATAATATTCATAAATAATATTACTGAAGAGAAAGATCATCTAATGTTACTCGAAGATTTGCAGTTAAAATGGCTAACGAGTTGGGTTATACGCAGTCGTATGTTACGCGTGGTCGGACGATCGTGACGTACCAGTCGGTGAGCGAACTGTAATGCATGTAATGAGTAATGCACAAGCGCTAAATTAGTTCCTCACTTCCGTCTATGAGGACAGATCACGCTGTAGACCGCATCTAATTTCTCTAATTCCCGAGTCCGCCTCCTGCGGTGGATGTGGCCGAGATGAAGAGCCGCCTGTCCGGACAGCTCTGTCACGGATGACGAATCGACGACATTCGCATCATAATTGAACGCGTGATAAAGAAGCCATCCACGACAGGGACATTCCGTTAAATATAATATCTCTGAAAAGTCACCCACTATAGTGGCTATAAAGCATAAATCCAGGACGACGGAGTTGTACGGAACGATTGCGTGAACGCCTCATTCTTCCCTTTGAGTTGCCTCGAATAACCCTTCCCTTATACCGCATCGCGTGAAATTTAGCAGAATGCGAGCGTTCCCGAGGGCAGCATCTGCGAGATATCATTTACGTCGGCATTTCCCGTTTCATTCAAGCATTCAAACGTTTCGGGCGAAGTCATTCACCGGCGAAAGCCCTTGCGGCCGGCAACGTCCGGTCGCGATCACGCTCTTCATCGACTCGAGATGGGTACGCGAAGCCCTCGTTGTCGTCGCTTCCTTCCATTTTGGTGCTAGTCCCTCGCTTTCCAATCCCTACCATACCCATGCTTCGATAAAATCGCGTCAAAAGACGAGACTTCTCCGGTCCGCGTAACCGCGTGCGAAAGTCAGCCGGTTCCCGGCACAGCATTCAGAGAGACCTCTGGGAAAGCGAGATGCGTCGGCGGACTCGCGCGAGCGTTTCGGTTCTCCAAATCGGACGGAGGGAGAGAGAAAAAGAGAGAAAGAGGGAGGGGGAGAGAGAGAGAGAGAGCTCTTTGTTCGCTGCTTCGCCTCTCGGTCCTCTCGCCGAGTCGCGCGTCGCACGGCACGATTCGCACGGATCCGCGCAACTTTCCTGCGTCTATAGCGCGATTCTTCCATAAACGTAGGCTATATGTTCCCCGCACCGCGATCTGACTGTAAAGCGAAATTGAGAGAAATACCGAGAAAGAGAGGAAAAGAGGGGAAGAATCCTCTGTTCTCTCTCCCTCTGGACTCTCCCTGCTGCTGCATAAAACAGCTACGCACCGCGACGGGACGATGGTCTATCTAATAGCAAGAGAAAGGAGGAGAAAGAGAGAAAGAATACAGGGAGGTTTGGTCTTTCTTTATCTTCGCCGCCTTCGCAAGAATTTCAAGAGAGGGTTTGCAGGCTGCACGTGTCTAAAGTTCACACCCGAGGCGCATGAGCTCCATGGATGGAGGATAATGGACATATAACACCGATCTACCCACGAAAATAGCAGAACCATAAAGGAGGAAATAGAGGGGCTGTATTTTCGCCCTTTCTCTCTTTTTCTATGCGAAACGTTTGGGTTGCGGCGCAATATGGCGACCGCCTATCGACTGTCTAGGGGGAGAAAAAAGAGAGAACCCTTCTGTTCGCGCTTTCCCTTTCGCTTCCTCGATATGAATATGATCATGGTTGGCCTCCATGCATTCTACATCAACGGGTCCTTCCGGCGGTTCGACGCGTGCCGAGGCGCCGCGACGCTGGCTTCGGCCCTTCCTGCGTGCCCGTGGCACGACGCCTCTCGGGGCAGGATGCGAGCCATATGGTGTCGGCCCTCCTGCGTCGTGTCCTGCGGCCTTCCTCGTCGTCCTCTTCCCGCCCCTCCTCGGACATCGAGTGGGCACTTCGTTACCTTCCTCCT